AGGGCAAAAAAAACAACCCCTGGGCTCTCCATCAGCTGCTCCATGTCTGGGCACTGTTGTTGCAAGCCGGCCTCTCCAAGCAGGCAGCGTGTGACTGTGCTGTTCTTCATCCCAAAGAGTGAGGGAAGCGTCATTTTGGGGTGGGAGGGGGGAAGGGATAGTAAAGCAAGTGTGTGTTCACTGGCAACAAACCTGCTTCCAGCAAGTCTGTGCCTGGCAGCCCCACGGGACTAAAAATACCCAGCAAAGGGCTAGAGCTGCGCAGTGTCTGTTTTCTCAGCTCACCAGCTGTCTCCTCGCATCCTCGCTCCTCTACCCAATGATTATCCCATCAGTTAAGGCCCTCTGAACCCAGGAAGAAGCATGTACGTGGTTTTACTAAATCCAGTTGAAGGGTTGAGGTTCACAGGCAGCGTTCTGCTGCTAATTGCGCGAAAGCCCAGACCCCTCCGACATCCAGCGCCGAAGGGCCGCTCTTGGCCTGGCCTCGCTGCTGCTGAAGTCACTGGCATGCTGTGTGATGTCCTCCCCGCTGACATCCTCAAGGTCCTTAAAAGTGGCCGGTTGGACAGGCAGGTCTGCCTAAGAAATGCTGAGCTCGCTGCGCGGGGCCGGCGTCTCGTGCGTGCAACCGGCAGCTCCCGGGGGAAGGGGTGCCTGGGAATGGGTGATGTTCTGTTGGTTTTGGAGAACGGAGAAAATCCTGAGGTTCGAGGTGGTACAGAAATGAGGGGATGCTCCTGTCGAGGGAAGCTGAGCCCAGGCAGGAGCTTCCTGCACATACATGTCCCTGCATGTATGCACATCCCTACTCACGTGCGTGTCCCTGCACGCGTGGATGTTGCTTCATGGGTGCGTGTTGCTGCGTGTGCGCGCAGCCCTGCACGCTGCCCCGTGCCTGTTGCTCACCGAGCACGCTTCCCGCTCCAATAGACTTGAAGACAGCAGGTGTCAAACCCAGCCTGACCCTGGCTTCCCCACTTGGCATCACAAATAAAACCGCCCTGACCCCGCATGATGGTCCTTCCCATTAGCTGGGCAACTCCTGGGGCTTGTGGTTTTGCTGTGGCTCTGGTTTTGCAGTGAAAGCTGCTGTGGTTGAATCCAGAAATAATCGCTCCTGAGTCTGTGGGGTAGGAGAGTGGCTCAGTGGTCATTGATGGCATGACTCTGCAATGGGGATGCTGGGCACCCGGGCTGGAGGCAGCTCAGTGTCTGTCCATAGCGGTTATGGTTGTGACCGGTGCCTCCGCAGCGCAGGGTGTTCTCCACTCTTGGGATCTGCCGTGGTTTCAGCCAGGAGATGGGCACACGTGGCTGAAATGTTTCCAGAGCCACGCTCAGAGGTGGCAGAGCATCAGCCTGGATTTGCCTGCCAGGCACCTGCTGGCAGAGGGATGCTCACGGTGCAGTGGTGTCATGGGGAGTGCGCAGAGCCCTGGAGACCCTGGCTGGCTGCCCTCCACCTACCTGGGGGCTTCAGGCCAGGATGAGGAGGGCTCTGGCTGATCTTTGTGGTGGTAGGAAGTCTCATCCCTGCTTGTAGCGCTTCTTCAGCTGCAGAGGATTGAAGCAGCTCTCCTTGTCTTACACCACAGTGTGTACACCCACGCTTGGTGGCCTGGGATGCAAGGGGGGCATGTGACCACCCTCCAATGAAAACATCCCCCAAGCCCTGAGCATGGAGGAGCTTTGAGTCACTAAGTGTCGCCGTGTCCTGAGCAGTTTTATGCTGTATCACATCTTTGCTGAGCATGCTCAGGGGAGCAGAGCACAGACCCTTTTGGGGACCAGCGAGATGGGATGAGTCAGTCCTGGACCAGCATCGGTGCCATGTGAGGTCTCCATGATCCTGTGGTCACCGTCTTCAGGCTGAGGAGTCCAGGCTGTGTTTATCAATCCCAGCCTCCCTTCCCAAGCACGGCAGATGTAACAGGATATAACTGTGCAGGAGCAGGTTGCAGTGAAGCAAAGTAACACATATGGACTTAACCCAAACCGCCCCAACTGCCCCCCGTGCACAGGCTCGACTGTGGGGGAAGCAAAAAGAAAATTGGCCCTTGGGTGATGCATCTGTGTCACCTGCTGCACCGAGTGGGTCCAGCCCCTTGGATTACCTCCACGGGGTGTGGGGAGCTGCCACGGCCCTGCTGGAACCGGCATCTGCAGTGTCTGCTTGTGGGAAGCGAGTCTCTCTTTTGCAGGCGGGATAAATTTCCATCTCATCATCACTCCTCTCAGATTTATGTCTTGGCCGTTCCCTGCAGCATTTCCTCTCCCTGAGTGCCCACGAGGCTCTTCCCTCTATGCCTTGATAGATGTTTCTTGATCCACCTGCTAATTCATGCAATTCCTTGCCAGCAGCCGAGGTGAGGACGTGGCCACGCGGCTGATTTTGCCATTCACGTTATGCTCGTGGGGCCGTCTGACTTTCCACGGTGTGGACGTGCTTTCTCCACGCTCATCCCACAAGCAGAGGCACAGGAGTGAGATGGGGCTTGAAAGTCGCCTCGTTTGGGTTTTGCAGCCAAATTAATAGGGCTTAGCTGTGGGGTAAGGCTGATTTCTGCTCTTCTTGGCCCCGAGTCTCCCTAGAATGTGGGGCACCTGCCCTCCAGGAGGGCTGGCAGCGTGGCTGTGCTCGTGTGCGGGTACTGCTGAGGCTGCTAATTAGGGGAAGGAGGATTGGAAAACATTTTGTCTGCTTAATTGTGGGGATGAGGCTCATGTCCAACTCAACCCAAGGAGAGCAGGGGGCTGGAGCGGTCCCTCGCTCTGTGCCTTTTCCTCTACCAGCCCCCTTTTTGCAGGTTTGCTGCAGGGATGGGATGTCAGTCGCAGTTATCCCCATCATCCATGTCCCAACGGCCAGGAAGGAGTGTGAACATGCCACAAAATTACAGGACAGTGTTAAGTGCCCGTAACAGGTTTTCTCCCACTCGAGGAAGGCAACTTAAAGGGGAAAGAGGGGGGACAGACACCTGCAGAACACCGTGTCCCACGTCCCCAGCACGCCGGAGTTGGCTTCCAGTGTAACGTGCTGAATGCACACTGAGGGGCTGGTGCTTTTGCCAGAGCTTCTCTATTTTTAGAGAGGATTTTTGTGTCAAACTTCCCATCAGCTGATGAGCCAATGTCGTCCCAAGAACGGAGCTACGGTTCCCCCGGCCCCAGCAGCGTGCATCTCCTTACGCATGCCGCCTTTGGACGGGGAGCAGTGCCCCGTCGTGCCACCGAGCTGGTTGAGACACGAGCTTTTGTTCCAGTCCAAAGGGCCAGAATGGGCTGATCCGGCCCGTGGCTTCGTGCAGGTCCTTTTTGTCTGTGTCAGTTTGAAAGGAGGGTGAAATGAGGATATTGAGACCGAACCTCCAGCGTTTTAGCTTAAAAAACTTAAAGGGGACAATCCTGTAACCGGCGTTAGACCAGCAGCCTTCGCACTGAGCTTGCCACGTCGTGTTTTGCTGCTTGGTTTGAGCCTTGCCCGTGCAAAGACGGTGAGAAGGGGTGGGCAGGTCCTTGGGGTGGCAGTGGCACAGCGACCCTCGCTGCTGGGGACCCTCGTCTGGCTGTAGCGCGCTGGAGCTCACCCGAAAGGCTGCGTCCGTAGAAATCTCTGCCTGGCATCTCGCTTGCGGCTGGGATGGGGGACATGGCAGCTTCTCGTCCCCGTGGTTTTGGGCTGCGGAAGTGGAGGTGAGGCTGCGGGTACTAGCATCACCCTGAGCCCACTGCAGGTCCAGACATGCTTTAATCCAGCCTAAATCCAGTCTGCTGCCCAAACTGGCAGCTCTGCCTCTCCCCTCCGGCCTCTCATCCCTGGCACAGGTGGGGGAACTGTGCTTGGCTTTGGGCAGTAATTCGGGGTTGCTAATGCCACCGTTCCCCGGGTAGAGGTTTGGCCGATGAAGGATGTGCTGAAGTTCAGTTAACACAGAACAGCCCGTCCCACTGCGTCTGTCCCCACTGACGCCGCAGGGAGAGGTGGGCTGAACGTGACGCTGATCGTTCAACTCGTTTGTTGCCGTGACTTCACACCAGGCTGGGGCCAAGCTCAGCTTTGAGTCTGATTTTCTGCAAACAGAGAGTTTCTGGGGCTGGAGGATGCTTGGGCCATGGGGTCCATCAGCTCCCAGGTGCCCTATGGAGGGCACAGGTCCCTGGCCCAGGATATGTGAATGCCAAAGACTATTGCACGATTTTGGGTCCTGGGGATGCTGTTGCCTGCAGCTCGGTACCATACAGGATGCAGTATGGTGACCACATGGGTGCAGGGTGATACGACCTAACACAGCCCATTCCTGTGGGTGCCAAGCCCACCTTTTGCAGCTCCTCAGGGTTTGACACAGGGCAGAGTGCTAGTCAGGTGCCCTGGGCATTTTTGGGGGCAGCAGGAGGGATCTGATCTCTGTCCACTTTCTCGTAGGTCACCACTTTGTGTTTGAAGAGCTGTGATGCCAAACAAAGACACGTTCCTGGACCAGCAGTGACCATCTCATCCAGCCTTGGGGAGAACAACCCACTGTCACCAGATTCTTCCTTGGCATGCCTAGGCAGCCGAAATGTCCCGTGGACCCTCCCTGTGCTGCTGCCAGCTTGGGCTTCCCATCGGGATGAGTCCTTGAGGGTCGCTTTTTCCCCCTCTGAACATCCCCATGGCGCATTGATGCTCCAGCCCCTCTGAAAGGCGTCAGAGAGGTGACACAAGGGACCCTGGCAGTGACAAGCAGCCAAGCAGGGAAATTTAAGACTGCAAGGGCCTTATCGGTGCCAAGGACGTCCCTCCGTCCCTGCTGGAGTGATGCCAGCTTCTGTTTAGCAGCCAAGAAGAAAGGATGGGGGATCCCTCCACCTTCACCCTGCCGTTGCTCCCTCCCGTGCTGGCTCCTCTGACCCGCAGGAGCCCGTAGCGATGTGATCAGGGCCCCTCAGCTTGACAGCACCCACCACCCGCCCCACCGGGCACCTCCAGGACCCTCACCCACCCATCGCGCCCCGTCATGATGTGCGAGGTGATGCCCACCATCAGTGAGGGGGACCCTCTGGGTCCCCCACAGGGCTCCGAGGCGGATGCCGACTTTGAGCAGCTGATGGTGAACATGCTGGATGAGAGGGACAAGCTGCTGGACACCCTGCGGGAGACTCGCGAGACACTCTCTGTCACCCAGAGCCGCTTGCAGGAGACCCTTCGGGAGCGTGACCAGCTTCAGAGGCAGCTCAACTCGGCCCTCCCGCAGGTAAGGATCTGGCCCTGGGATGAACAGGAGCCCTCATTGAGGCATACGGGCCACTCGGATGTGATTTTTAGCTCGTGCCTCTAGGAAGGTCAGCTTGGTGTGATAGCGGTGATGCTGCTGGGTGTGTTGGAACTCATGCCAATAGTGAAACCTGTAGGTTTTCCTAGGCCAAGCCACAACCAGCTGGAACGTCTCCCCTTCTCTGTATCCCTTGTTGGTCTGTGAGTCCACGCAGAGAGGTATGGGACTGTAATCCCCCCAAGGGGCAAAACCTTCCTGAGGATGCCCGAGGGCCACAGGGAGGCAGATGCAGAGCCCATCCTCGCCCATTGGCACCGAACAGTGCTTGAGTAGCAGATCTGGCTTGCTGCCTTGAGCCAGCTCCTTGGGACATCAGGTGGTCCTTGGTTTCATGAGTCCCCACTGGCACTTACAGAGAGCCCAAATGGGGACGTTAACCACATTCCTTCCCCACTGCTGGAGGGAAGCCCCTTCTCCCTGCCCCTTCCCTCGCAGGGGGTGATTCTTTCCAGCAGCCCTGTTGCCCTGGGGAGCACTGGGGAGCACGGTGGGGCAGTGGGACTGTCTTTATCTCAAGCTCAATCCCGAGAGGGGACGCTGGAGGCAGACCTGAGTGCAGCGAGGGGATCTGGACATCAGGATGGGCTCATCTGTTCCCTGAGCTGGAGCAGACAGACAGCAGGCAGGGAGACTGCCAGAGGTCTGTGCTCAGCGAGTAGCACAGGGCACAAGGAAATCAGGGCTTGCCATGCCTCCACTGGGGTTTCTGGCTCTGCTGAGAGCCTGGTGTTGCTCTGCTCCTGGCTCCGTCACCTGCAGGTCCCACTCCAGGTACTTCAGAGACCTGGACTTGAGCTCGACCTCTGCAAACAAAGATGCTCAAGTCAGAAGAGGATGGGGGGAGTGAGTGTTGCTGGGCTGTGTAGGGTGGATCTGAGCTGCCCACCTTCCCTGTGGGATTTTGTGGGGCAGCACACAGTGTCCCAGAGCCCACACTTGGGGGAAGCAGGATACAGGAGGCTCTTGCACCACTCTGTTGTGGTTGTGATGTGGGGAGAGCCAGTGAGGAGCCCAGAAGCCAGGGGAAGCAGGAGGCTTTGAACATTTACGTCTGTGTTCACTGTGCAGGTGCTGAGACCATAGATCCTCCTGCCTTGCCTGGGTGCTGGGTTTTGGGGCACCCCAGGGAGATGAGAAACAGCTGATGGATCCAAACTGGTGGCACAAACTATGACATGACAGAGCTTGGGCTGGTCCCTGGCCAACTCTTGGCATCCCCCCTCTGCTCTAAACGGAGGGAAAGCAGCTCGGGAGGAAGGCAGCCCATGTCCCCGTCCATGGAGCTGGCCTCATCCTGGCTCTGCCTGGGCTGCCAAAATCAAAACACCCGGCAATGCTTCTGCGGCATCTCCTGGAGTTACTCTCTGCTCCTAGAGATGCGCCGAGATGTGCCCAAGTGCTGGGTGCAGACTGGGCCACCACCACCTCCCCTGTGCTGGGAGCTCACGTCCCCTCTGCTCCGGGTGCTCCTGGCTCCCCGGCCGGCTCGCTGGAGAGA